CATCAGCTCTGGGGCACTGAGTGTGGCCTAGACCAAGCATTTGTGTCCTGTCTTGCACTGTGATTCTCTGTCCGTTTGTCCTGAATGAGGACTAGGGCTGCCTCCCTTGGGGGTCAGTTAACAGTCTTCCCATGGAGCAGGGCCTCTATTCATCCCCAGATCTGGCCCCAGCATCCTCCCTGGCCTGCCCTGCAGCTCCCAGAGGACCAAGAGGTTGACAGCCACTCTGTCCAGCCCATCACCCTCCCCTTTCTTCCCCCACAGTGTCCACTCTGCTCTCGGCTCCCAGAACCAGGCCAACCACCCACGTACCTCACTGCACCCACTCAGAAGTGCGAGCTGCAAACTTGTCCCAAGGTTTTCAAACGGTGCCATGCGTGGGGACCCAGAGGGCTGCGGGGATGAGGCCCAGTGAGGAGGATGGAGACTCATGGATACAACCCATGCCCCCCACCCATGTGAAAACCAGTACAGTGGTTTTATATCTGTTTGTTCAGTTTGTTTGGGTCATATCTGTATCTCTTCATTCTACAAATATTTACTAAGCACCTCCTATGTGCCAGGCATGGCTCTAGGTGCTAAGGATAGAGCAGTGAACAAAACAAAGCTTCTGTTTTCACGAAGCTGAAGTTTTGGTGTGGGTGGAAAGGAGATCAAAGCCCAAATAAGCGGGCCTGTCCCTTCTGGAAAGATGGAATAGACCTGCGTCTCCTTATTCCTCCTGCTAAGGACACCTAAAATCCTGGAACATTAGAGATAAGGCAAGCGTAAGAAGGTGCTGGTAGACAGAAGACAGTAGGCTGACCTGGGACCAAGAGACAGGACACCAGTGAGCACTTTTTGTCCAGTGCATCCCAGGTTGGAAATGAAGAAGTCAGCAACCCAGTAATAACAAAAACGCATGTGTGCGTGCAGGCACATACTCACACATACACACATGCAAACCACTCCAAAAGTCTGCTTTCTGTAGCCAAAAGACCAGGAAAGGGGCAGCCTACCAAGACAGAAAACTTAGCAACAACTGCTCTCGACAGTCACACATCCCAGAAAACAAACCACGAACAAACCAACGGTTGTGGGTGGACCCCCCCACTCGCACCAAGCTTAGATTCCCTTCACCAGGCTGTCATGAGGCATGTCACCAGCTGCAGTGATAGCAGAGCAGGGAGCCGGGACTGCCACTTAGCTGGAATAGTAAAAATCCCACCCATCCCCGAGCGGCAGTGGAGGTCACACAGGGAGCCAGGACCCCTGCTCCCAGGGATAGTCAGTTCTCCTCATGCAATTCCTATTAAAAGCTCAGCAAGATTTCTTGTAGGTATAGACAAGATTATTCTGGAATTTATTAGGAAAGGCAAAGGAACTAGAATAGCTAAAACAATTTTGAGAAAGAAGACTCAAAGTGGGAGGAATTAGTCTATCCAATTTCAAGATTTAATACATAGTTACAGTAGTCTAGGCTGTGTGGTATGGGGGAAGGGATACACAGAGATCAATGGGACAGGAGAAGGGACCCACAAATAGACCCACACAAATGGGCCTAACTGATAATTTGACAAAGATGCAAATCCATTCCGTGGAGAGGGGAGTAGACTTTTCAACAAATCATGGCTAGAACTATTGGACATACAGAGACAAAAGGAAAAAAAAATCAATCTTGATCTAAACTCCATGTCTGGTATCAAAATTAACTCAAAATGGTTTGGGGACCTAAATACAAATTGTAAGACTCTAAAATTTTTAGGAAAAAAAATAGAAAATCTTTGGGATCTAGACATAGGCACAGAGGTCTTAGATTTGATTATCAAATGGATCAAAAACATAAGTGGAAAATTTGATACATTGGATGTCAGCAAAATGTAACACTTGCTCTGTGACAGACCTGTAGTTGGAAAGACAAGTGACAGAGGAAAACATCTGTAAGCCACCTCTCACACAAAGGCCCAGTATTTAGGATCCATACAAACACTCCAAACTCAACAGTAAACAACAACATCTTCCAAACAATCTGATTAGAAAGTGGGCAGAAGAACATGAAGAGATATTTTGCCAAAGAGGATAAACAGATGGCAAGTAAGCAACAGAAAAGATGTTCAACACCATTAGCCATTAGGAAAATGCAAATGAAAACCACAATGAGGTGTTACTACACATCTATCAGAATCGCTCAAAGAAAAAAAAAGTGACGACATGCTGGTGCGGATGTGGAGAAACTCCCTGATATAAGGACACAAATGGTTGATATAGAAATTGGGATGACTCTCCACAGAATTATACTGAGTGCTAAAAGCCAATCCCCAAAATACGGGCTGTGTGATTCCATTTATGCAACACTCTTAAAATGACAAAATAAGAGAAATGAAGAGCTGATTACTGGTTGCTAGAGGTTGGGAGGGGAGGGGGGTGTGGCTGTAAAATGGCAACAGGAGTGTGATGAATGGAGATGGTCTGTATCTTGACTATTGGTGTCGATATGCTGGCTGGGGACTGACTGTATCTGCAAGACGTTACCATTGAGGAAAACTGGGTACAGGGTACGTGGAACTCTCTGTATTATTTCTTACAACTGCCTGTGAATCTATAATTATCCCAAAATAGAAAGTTTCATTTAAGAACAAAGAATAATAAATAATAGGAAGAAAAGCTACAGGAGAATTACAGGGTGTGGCGAGGGCTGAGATGAAATTGAACAGGGGTGTGTGACAGGGAGAGAAGCTCCTCCCCTTGTTGGGTCACCAGACTGGGGAGTTGGACCTGCTCCTAGATAAGATCCCTGATCCTAAAGACTTTAAATTCACTTTAAAACTAAGCCATGTAAAATAGGGAATTTATAGAAAGCAGTTGTACAGGAACTTGGGTTGCTGATGACAGACACCCAATTCAGACTGGCTTAGAGAAAGAAAAAAATCCGATAAGGGAATTTGGGCTCCCATAACTGAAAAGTCCAGGGATAATGGCTTCAGCACAGGGACCTGGATCTTTTTTCAAGGATCTGCTAAGAGTCAGCCTCCTTAGCAGGTTGCGTGGTGGCAACAGTTCCTAGCAGCTCCAGGCTCAAATCCCACCAGCTTGGCACCCCGGGAGAGATACGACTGAGAGTCCTGGGATGGAGTCTCATTAGCCTGACTTGGGTGTTACACACCTATCCTTGAACTAATTACTGTGGCCAGAGGGAAGTGATGCTCTCATTGGCCAGGTGTTGGCCATGTGATCACCCTAAAGATTGGGGATGAGGCCAGCTCCACGCAAACCGTGTGGCCTGAGAGGAGGGGAGCACTGGTCCCTTAACAGAACGGATGCTGGTCAGGCCAAACCAACCTGTGTGTCGTGGAATCCCAGGAAAGGTGCACTTCTTTATTCTCCAGCCTCACGTTCTGAATTTCCACCTCTGTAGTTCAAACACCCATCCCACTTTGAGCTGGTCTTGAGTTTCTTTGCTGAGAGGAGAGAGTATCTGATTGGACCAACTTCGGTCAGATGCTCAGCCCTTATCCAATCATCTGTGAATAGGGGGGTGGGGTGACCTACCAGACCACTCTAAGACGGACCAGGTGGAGCCCATCACTGTCTGTCATAGATACTGGAGAGCTTCTGGGAGGTCTAAATTAGCTCCTTATCATGAAAGAACAAGGAATCCATTAACAGTTTTGGCGGTAAGGGACTGGTGATGATCGGGCATCCCTGTGAGACAGGCTGAATCCTCACACTTCCCCTTGCTTTCCCTCTGGGTGGCCTGGGTCTGATAAAAAGCAGAGCAGTGCGTGTGGCAGGTGGGCTGCCCTGACCTTGAGGAATGCATTGGTGGTGATGTTGAGAGACCCAACGGATGGCTGGCAGAAGAGGAGGTTGGATGCTCTGAGATAGGACAAGCAGCCACTGAGTCCTTGATTGGGAGGAAACCCGTCACCAGGGCAGGGACTGGAGAGCATGGACGCGGAGACCTGGCTGGGTGTAACTAACTGGAGTCAGGCAGGTCCCCACTCCTGATTCTAAATGTTACTGCCCAGTCTTGGTCAGAGGAACTAGGCGGGAGGCCACTTCTAGAATGGACACCAGGTCAGAGAAGACCAGCGCCTAGCTCCTGATCTGCTAGCCCCATACCTCCTTCCCTTCTTTCCAGTTGTCAGCTCTGGTTGGCTCCACGTCCACGTCAGGTGAGTGCGGCCACGAATTGCCAGCAGTGCTTGGAGGAAGGGTGGAGAAGAGCACCACATGGGTCATGATAACTTAATCTTGCAGAGGGAGAGTTTGGAAATGAAGCCAGACAGAAGGGGTAGGAAGAATGTTGAAACTGCTGATGGTAGTAATGACAGTGAACCTTTTTTGAGTTCCTGCTCTATGCACCAGGCACTGTCTGAGATATTTTGAATGGCCCATCTCCTTCAATCCTTACAACAACGTTGTGAGTTGGTGCTGTTGTTACATCCATTAAAATGATATGAGGAGTAAGGGGCGGGGAGGTTAAGCATCTTGCCCAAAGTCAAACATGAACAGAGGTAATTTAACCCATCATAGGCACCAGCTTTTAGGGTCCCCCCCCACTTCTTCTTTATCATCAACTCCAACTAATTGCACTCTCCCTCGCTCCAGCATCTCAGACCTCCAGCAGTCTGTGGGCTATTCCTTACTGCCTCATGCCTCCATGCCTTTGCACACGCCCTTCCCTCTTCGTGGAATGCCCTTCTCCCTGGTAAACTCTCGCTCATCCTCCAAGACACCTTGTAGCCTACCTGTGTTCTGGTGACCTTCCCTGAGTCTGGCCCTTGTGGATGGAAGGTCTCGCTCTTTCCTTGTGTCCCAGTAATGAAGGCTGTCATGTCTGCATCACAGTGTACAGACTGAATGGGGCGGAGACCTCATCTTAGTCTTCTCTGCAGTAGCACCTGCTCCAGAGTGGCCCAGAGGAGGCAGCTGTGCAGGGTGAATGCATGTCTGGTGGGTGGGGTTTCCTGTCCCCTGCCCACCCTCACTGTGGCACCTCTCTCCTCATCTCTTGGCAGCCTGGCGTGGGGCTCCTTTACCTGCTGCATGGCAGCCTCTGTCACCACACTCAACTCCTACACCAAGACGGTCATTGAGTTCCGGCACAAGCGCAAGGTGTTTGAGCAGGGCTACCGGGAGGAGCCGACCTTCATAGACCCTGAGGCCATCAAGTACTTCCGGGAGAGGTCAGTGCACATGGGGTCACCTCTGGCCATCATTGGGAATCCAAAGCCCAGGGTTTGACCTTAGTAGCCACAGGGTTCCAGTCAAAAGCTAGAGTGATTTGACAGAAGCATCCTGGGGGTGTAGTGGGGTAGAAGGGAGAGGCTGGGTAAGGCAGAGTTTGAACCCCACTGTGTTGGCATTTCTGGGATATTTTGGTGTTTTATGGGATATGAGGTTGGCTTGTGATCAGAGCCTGAGAAACCAAGGAGAAAGAACTGAGTCTCAGGGTTTGCTTGTTAGCCCCATGCTTCTGAGAACCATGTCTTTTTAGGGGCATACAGAGAACAAACCAAGGTCCCTTTCTTGGGCTCTCTTATAGCAATGAGTGGAAAGAGGACCCAGCAGTGGGTTGTTGATGACTGCTGGAGGACGAGGTCTCCTCAAGGCCAGGGACTACATCTGATCACCTGAGTCCTCAGAGTCCAGTTGGGAATAGAAGAAGTGAAAATAAATTGTGTATATATGAATGGATGGTTGAATGCTTGGGTGTATGTATGTATGTATGTTTGGGTGGGTGGGTGGCTGGATGGTTGGATGGTTGGTTGGGTGTGTGTATGTATGTATGGTTGAGTGGGTGGATGGATGGATGGATGGGTGTATGTAGGTATGTATGGTTGGGTGGGTGGGTGGTTGGATGGATGAATGGATGGTTGGTTGGGTGTGTGTATGTATGTATGGTTGGTTGGGTGGATGGATGGATGCGTGGGTGGGTGGGTGGATGGTTGGATGGTTGGATGGATGGGTGGGCATAGGTATGTATGTATGGTTAGGTGGGCTTACGTATGTATGTTTAGGTGGGCTTACGTATGTATGGTTGGGTGGGTGGATGGATGGATGGTTGGTTGAGTGGAAGGATAGATAGATGAATGAATGAATTCACGCACGTGTGGATGAGTGCATGCATACATGGATGGATGGGTACTTGGATGCATGGATGGCTGGTGGAGAATGGATGAAGGACAGACAGGCAGATAGTCGGCATATTTCCTGGGACCATCTCTTAAATAAACTATGCATGCCCAAATCCTTGTCACAGGGTCTGCTTCTAGGGGAGCTGACTGGATATGCAATAATGCCTTTCAATGGTAGGGGACTGAAAGGTTGTCAGGACTGATGAACAGAGTCTGAGGAGGAAAAGGGGGAAGGAGGCTGCAGAGCTGGGCAGCATTGAGGAACTGGACTCTCTCGGGCAGTGGAAAGGTTTCAAGCCAAGGAGTCACATGACGGAGGCCACATGGGCACCTCTCTCTGACTCCTGCAGACCCCGCCATCTCTCCTGTGCTGCATGGGCCTCCTTTCTGTCCTTTGAACACTGTAAGCTCACCCCCTCTTGAGATCTTTTGCACTTGCTATGCCCTTGATTGGAGTATGCACCTGGCTGGCTGACTTGGGTCTCAGCTTGAACTTCACCTGCTCAGTGAGGCCTTCCTTAATCAGTCGGTGTAAATTCGCCCCGTGCACTCCAGCCACTTTTTCAGAGCACTCACACAGCCTGACCGTATCCTGCTCATGTCTGAGTTTATAGGCTGTGAGCTCCAGGATGGACAAGCTTCGTGGTCTTGTTCCCTGCTCTATTCCCAGCTCCTACAACTGGGCCAGGCACCTAGCAGGTGTTTTTTTATTTTTCTTTGGGTAACTGACCGAGTTCTTCTCCCTGGAGACCTCAGGCCCGGCTGCCCCACACACTTTCAGCTCAAACTTCACCATCACCGGGCAGATGCAGCTTCCCGGCCCCCCGACGCCAGGGTCCCAGATCAGGTGTCCACTCTGGGGCCAGACAGCTGTGGCTGGGAAGCTTGGACTCCTTGGGCATACGGGGCCGCCTTGCCCACGGCTGGGGACAGTGTGCTCACCAGGAAGGTGGCAACGGCTGGCATAGGACAGGACCCGCAGGAGGTGCTCAGGAACTGTATATAGCAGCCGTATACACAGCACGATGTCTAAAGCCATCCCTTATCACTGCATCCTCAGCTGTCCCCTCAGCTAGGGGAGAGCCTGGGGCATCTGCGGCAGCCTTGTTCTACCAAGACAGGACCTCTCCAAACCCCATCATCAAGAAGCTGCCGTTTGCCAGTGCCCTGGCTGGAACGGTCCCTAACAGCTCAGGCCCCGGCCGTGTGGGGGCAGATGCCTGGTTCTCAGCATATGTGCAGAATATCACTTTACGCGTTCATAACTTGAACATTAAGCAGAGGTTCATCAAATTTTATTTCCGTTCCTCTCTGAGGAGAGCATTTCAGCTTAGCTGGGCTGTTCTAATTTTTTATTTATTTATTTTTTTGGTACTTCCCCACAAAGCTCAGAGCACGTGGATCTCTCCCAGCACAGGTCTGCAAGTGGCCCAGCAGCAGCAGGGCTGAAATCCTGCACTGGCCAGTGTCCCCAGAACTATAGCCACAGACACCAGGGGAGAGATCTGAGGGGCCCACCTGCCTAGGTTTTCCCCTCCTTGGGGGGTTGGGGGGTGGTGGAAGGAGCAGGGACTTCGGGAAAGCCTCAGTCTGAGTGCATGGTGTTCCAGACCTGTGGCTTCACTGCTGTGTGACTTGGGGCAAGGCACTAAGCCTGTCTGGGCCAGTGTCCTCTGACCGCCAGCGGGAGAGCCCAGAGCCGTCAGCGCCCTGGGAAGTCACACTTCGATAATGCAGGTAATGCGCTGGGCATAGTACTGCATTTTGTATCTGTGAGTCTGTTTCTTCTGCCGCTGATGTGATATAGAAAGCTTAGTAATGATGAGGACGATTGCCTTAGGAGACGGCATTTTAGGCATTAGGAAGCTAATAACCATATTAATAACCACAGCAGCCATAGGGTGCCTGCCCCTTGCCCAGCACTCCTCTCTCTGCTCCAGGTATGACTCAGTGAATTCCACCACGCCTCTGGGAGGTCATAGGTACTATTGTGTCCCCGTTTTATAGATGTGAAATCAAGGCACAGAGAGGTAAAGTGACTTGTCTAAGGTCACACAGCTGGTAAGTGCCAGAGTTGGGATTTGAAGCAGGCCACAATCAGTCTTGTGACGTGTGGCCTCTCGCGACTGGTCATCAGGCTCTGCCCGACACTGAGGAGGGAGCTGGGCTTGCAGGGGTGAGTGAGGGGAGTCCACTGAGGGCTCACGATGTGAGGGTGGGTGTGGTGCCCAGGGAGAGGGTGCAGGGTCTCCCAGCTGTGCCCACTGTTCCTGCCCACTTCACCAGGCCTCTCCCTCTGTGCTCCTGACTGAGGACAAGATGCCACCCTGTGGGGGCTGATGGGGCAGGGAGGGCCTGGTCTGCTGCCACAAGCCACCCCCTTCTCTTCGAGTTTTCTCTGGGGGAGCCTATGCACGTCTCGGGACTAACTGGGCAGATTCTGAACAGTTTTCAGGGGTTTTGAAATGCAGGTGTGTGTGTGCATGCATGCATTAGTGTGTGCACGGGGAGGCCAGTGTGCACGCATGTGGACCAGGGGCTGGGGAGCCTACCCCTGACTCTGAGCGGCTGCTTAGAGAAACGTCTGGAATTAAGCGCTCCCCAGGTCCCCTACCTGCCATCTCCAAGGAGGATGTCTTAATGGGGCCTCGGAGGGGAGGGTCGGAAGCTGCCGAATGAATGAAAGATAAATATTTGCAGACCCGGCTTTCCTGAATGCTTAATGTTCGGATCTGCTTTAACAACTCGTGGAGGAGAGCCAGACCTGTTGGATCGGACCCCGGCAGGGATTCACAGCCACAGGGAACAGCCACCATGCCTCCCTGGGGGAAGCCGCCAGGGTGGGAGAGCGAAAGTCTGGGAGCTTCCAAGGGGGGAATAGCAGGTTGGGTGGCCTCCTGCCTGTGGAATCAGATCACCTTGCTCTGCGACGTCCCGCTCTCTGAGCTTACTTGTTAATTTATTTACCGCTTGGTTTGTCCCTGCCTCCTTCCTGTGTGCACACCACCAGAGAAAGTGGACAACAGTCTTTCTGGTTTCTGCTGGATCAGGCACCTAGGAGCTCAGGGGCTCAATAAGTTGTGTTACTAACTCTTCATAGTAATTACATTGTTACCCACGATGCAGAGCGGGACTGGACTTCCTATGGCTGTTCCTGGGCCTGGCTGTGGGTGCACTCATTTAACCTTGGATACCCTCCATAAGAAATGGACCAGGTTGAAATTAACTCCGTAATTTACTAACTGTGGGTCACTTCCGCTCCTGCAGCCTCTATTTTCCTGGCTGGAAAATGGGCTGGCACCCTTCCTCACAGTTTTCTTTTGAGGATTACATGAGATGATGCAGTGAAGTTTCACTTTATGAAACCGGGGCTCCCCCTTTCCCTGCCCACACCCCTGCCAGAAACCTCCCTCTGAACGGCACAAGGAAGACACTCCCTGCCTGAGAAAGGAACCCAGCACACACCGTAAGCTGGCGGCCCTTGGAGAATCCTGCCGGAAGATGTGCTTTGCTTGGTCTCTATGGTGGTTTAAAAATGTTTAAATTTTGGCTGAGTTTTAAGAATCAGAATCTCCTTAAAACATCAAGGTTTTTGCTTCGCATGAGAAAGCGGAGGGTCTGGCTGCACTGGGCTCCCGCTCTCACATGGTGTCATTGGGCTGGAGCGAGCGGCAGCATCCTCCCTGGGAGGCTCCCAGGCTCGCCCATCACCTGCCCTGCCGCGGGGTCTATGGAGCACGGCAAGGTACCATTGCGGGGTCTTCTGGAGGTGATGGCAGGCCGAGGGCCCAGGCCCAGCCCAGGGCAGCTGGAGGATAAAAGAGCTTTCAGAGATGAGACCCTTGAGCCAAGTTTCCAGAGGCACGTGCAGCGTTCGCCAGCCAGATGGGCAGCGGGTGAGAGAAGGCGTTCTTAGGCACAAGCAGCAGCACGGGCAAAGGCCCAGAGGGGGAGCACACAAGTGGATTTAGGAAACTCTGAGCAGTTTGGTTTGATTTATGAGTGGGAGTTGGACCTGAGTCTCTGATCTCTCTCATCCTCCCACAGCA